AGTCCCAGCTGCTCGGGAGGCTGAGGCAGGAGAATTGCGTGAACCCGGGAGGCGGAGCTTGCAGTGAGCAGAGAGCGGGCCACTGCACTCCAGCCTGGGTGACAGAGCGAGACTCCGTCTTAAAAAAAAAAAAAAAAAAAAGAAAATGATACTCAAGAACCAATGAGTAGTCATTCCCTGAAAATTGTAATCTATTTTCTCTTTTCATTTGACCCTAGTGCTGGCAAAGTATCCCAAAAATAAAAAGATGATGAATTTGCCTTGCTTGCCAATGTTCTAATTAACTAAATAAGGAAAACAAGATAATTGAAATTTTTGCATCAGTATATTTTTTCTGAATTTTAATAACTATAATCATTGAGGTCTTTTCTTTTAATACATTTTTTACTTTTGACATATCTGTTTTGTTCTGCTTCTTCTCACCACCACCCCATCTCCTATTTTGGAAACATTTTATAGATTTTAAATTCAACTTTTAATACCAACTACTTTGAGAACTTAAAACTTCTTATCACAACATCTAAAGAAAACAGAAATCAAAGAAAAGTACTTTCTGAAAAAATGCTATTTGAGGTACTAAGAAAAGTTTCTATTTAAAATTACAAACATTGTTGAAACTGTCCTTTATGTTTTGAAATGACCATATTCAAACTTTGTGCCAGCTGAAGTCATCTTATGCAAGGTGGTAATCTACAGTGCTATTAGAAATGTGTTTTCTCCTGAAATTCTGGAAAGTTAGACATAGCAACAAAGTAGTTTTTCAGTCTTCCAAAAGCTCCTCATAAGACTAGACAGCAACTACTTCTAAAAAATCAAAAACTCAATGACAATATCTACAGCAAAACCAGGTGACAGGGTATCCACATGAAGCCTAACATACAAGTGAGTGAGGACTAGCTAATGACAACAGGAAGAGCCACGTGGAATTATCACTTGTACACGAAGAAGCAAGAAGACAAATGAGAAACCCCAAAGTAGGCAAACACTCAAGTCTCTCAAATCTTCAAGTTATTTGGAAGAAGCATAGGTCAATACAAAAAAAAAAAAGAAGCCAAAATTGGGAAAGATTTTTACCACCCAAATTTCTGAAAAGTACAAGGGGTGCACCTGCAGTAAGGTCTAAAAAGCTAATTCATTGTCAAGGTCTTGTGAACTCCTGAAACAAAAATCTAAAGTCCCTTGGGGAAAATGTTCTACACTTAGGAAAAACTGCTGGGAAGGGTTTCCAGATTAATCCGTGTAGAGACGGTAAAGGCAAAGGAATGAAGTTCCAGGGGAGGGAAGAGATCTCAGAAAGAATGAGGGCATATTTTTGAATGCTTCATGAACATAACCAGAAAGTTAAGAGCCATGAAACTAAAAAAGATATCCTGAAGTATCACTCTGTCAAAAGGTTAAGTAAACCAACTTGGCTTAAAAATGGACAGCAACAGAAAAGTATCTCAGTTAGTTCCAATAGAGAATGATTATGGGACATGGATGGAGCTGGAGGTCAATAGAGGACAGACAATAAGGAGGAGAATAAAGTTCCTTCAGGCAGTGAAAGCATGTCAGGAAGAAACACCCACAAAAAACCATGAAAATAAGATAGTGTTACAAAATAAGCTAAAACTAAGAAAACTGTAGAAAAACAATATAAATCAAAGGTAGAAAAATTCTTACATATGTATAATTGCACACCCCAAAGAAGAAAACCAAAGCAATGGAAGAAAACAAATATAAAACATTCTACTTCAAGAAAATATTCCTGCAATTTAAAAAGAATAATGAAAGCACTCTAAATTGAAGGATTATGCCACAAATCAAAATAACACAACCCAGAACAACTACCATGTTTCTCATAAAACACGTCTTAAAATACTTTAAATTAAAAGAAGAATTCTTTGCCCACATTCATGCAAAAAGAGCAAGTCAATTATTTGGAGAAAATCAGATTGTCATCAGATTTTTTGAAAATCACATCATGTATCAGAAGAAAATTGTCGCCTACTTAAGATAATGAGGCTCCCTTTCCTCCTATTACTTTGAAATAATATTCTTTTACTTGTTGGTAATTATACAGCAATCAAGAAGTTTATATTTTTCAAGCTGTTCTTATTTCTTCTCAATTTTTGACAGCTATATATTGTATCTGCATTGTAAGTTCATACTAGCTGGATTGCTAGTGTATTAGTCTGTTCTCACACACTATAAAGAACTACCTGGGACTGGGTGATTTATAAAGAAAAGAGGTTTAATTGACCCCCAGTTCTGCATGGCTGCAGAGGTCTCAAGAAACTTAACTATCATGACAGAAGGTGAAGGGGAAGCAAGGCACATCTTCCCATGGCAGAGCAGGAGAGAGACAGCACAAAGGGGGAAGTGCCACACACTTAAACCATAAGATCTCATGACAAGTCACTCACAATCATGATAATGGCAAGGGAGAAATCCTCCCCCATGATCCGATCACCTCCCACCGGGCCCCTCCTCCAGTTTGACATGAGATTTGGGTGGGAACACAAATCCCCAAAATCCAAACCATATCAGCTAGTTAATGTCAGTATTGCTGGGAGTACAGAACAAACCAAAAAAGAAGAAACTAATGTTAAAAACATTAAAACAAAAATACAAACACTCCTAAATGCAAAAAAGTAAAATTAAAGAGGAAAAGCACATAAAATGCACAACATGGTAAAAACATATATAAAACATTTTGTACATATTAATATGATATTGTTTGTCTAGGAGATGGGGAATATCAACATATGTACATATATATTTATTTTTTAATTGAAGAATAAAATGTAAAATTAGAAAAATACTGTCTGCCACTAAAAGTGTACTTCTAGGAGACAATGACTTATTCTAGGTTTGAGGCAGCAAATGTACAAAATAAACCTCAGGTATTGTATTATACTGGATAGAAAAAGAACCACCAAAGACTTCAGAAGCCAACCTGCATAGCCTTCTACTGACCCAGGAAGAGCTAGAGCAGATTGAAACATACAAAATATGGTTAAATCCATACTTTCAAAATGATACCAGAAAATGAACAAAAACACTAACTGGTCACTGAAAATGTTGGTGAATGAACTCATTATTTTGAAAACTGGTAAGTTAAAAAACTAATGATTTATCCCCTCTTTCCTATAAGAATTGTATTACTAGAAAATTTTTAGCTAACAAAGAAGCAATGATAGATTTTACCAACTTGAAACTGCTAATGACTTGATGGATCTAGGCATTGATAATCAATTACTGTTATCAACATGAGATGGAGCATAATTGAACATGCAACTTCTTGTGAAAATACAAAATACTCCCTATAAAGTGTATTTGCTAAAAATTCACTGAGTCTAATCAAGACCCTAATGCTATTCATTAATAAAAAGTAGAGAGGGCAGAGAAATAGCTCCAAAGATATCAAGGCTATAGAATGAAATGTAATCCTCTAGAATCAAATGTGATTCTATCCCCTTGATGTCTTTGGAGCTATTTCTCTGCCCCCCTTTTTTTTATTATTAATAGATAATGCTGGGGTCTTGATTAGGTTCAGATTAAATAAAGAAAATGTACATATACACCATACAATACTATGCAGCCATAAAAAGAAATGAGATCATGTCCTTTGAAGGGACATGGATGGAGCTGGAGGCCATTTTCCTTAGCAAACTAACGCTGGAACAGAAAACCAAATACCACATGTTCTCACTTACAAGTGGAAGCTAAATGATGAGAATACATGGATACAGAGAGGAACAACACACATTGGGGCCTATAGGAGGGTGGAGGGCGGGAGGAAGGAGAAAGAAGATCAGGAAAACTAACTTATGGGTACTAGGCTTAATACCTGGGTGATGAAATAACCTGTACAACAAAGCCCCATGTTTTTTTTAGAGAATCACATTTCCAAGCAGGGAGACTAAAGAACAGGTGACCAGCTTTCAAAAAAGAAACACAGCAAAAATGAAACAGAGATGGAGAAGGAATTAAAGGGAAGAATGGGGCCGGGCGCGGTGGTTCAAGCCTGTAATCCCAGCACTTTGGGAGGCCGAGACGGGCGAATCACAAGGTCAGGAGATCGAGACCATCCTGGCGAACACAGTGAAACCCCGTCTCTACTAAAAAATACAAAAAACTAGCCGGGCGTAGTGGCGGGCGCCTGTAGTCCCAGCTACTGGGGAGGCTGAGGCAGGAGAATGGCGTGAACCCAGGAGGCTGAGCTTGTGGTGAGCTAAGATCCAGGCACTGCACTCCAGCCTGGGAGACAGAGCGAGACTCCGACTCAAAAAAAAAAAAAAAAAAAAAAAAAGGGAAGAATGGAGGAAGAGAAAGAGGGTTGCTGGGGAAGAGAGAGAGAGAGGGAGAAACTACAGGTTAAAAGAGACTAAGAGATATACCAACCAATCAAGTTTCATGGACCTTATTTGGATACTTATTCAAACAAGTAATTTAACATGTTTCAGACAATTAGAAATTTGAAACATTGCATATTTGATAATATTAAAAAATTATAGGTATGATATTGGAATTATAACTATGATTTTTAGAGGGTCCCTTATCTTTTAGAGATAACCTCCTTAAATATTTAGAAATGAAATTATATAATGTCCAATGTGTGCTTCAAAATAAGAAGGAAGGAGTGGAAATAATTAAGCAAATAAAACTTCATGAATGTATAGTTAAAGCTATGTGACAATTACATGGGGGTGTTTCATTGTATAATATCTACTGGCATATGTTTAAAATGATTCACAAAACAAAGTTTAAAACAAAGTGTTTTTTCCTCAAATGCAACGGATAGTTCAAGCCAAGGAAAAATAAGAGTATTTCATTTTCCTAAGTAAACTCAAAGAGTTTTAGAGTGTCAGTTTGTGGAAATCTTTCCCATGGTAGTATGGTAGCTTGTTTCAATTGTTTACATGCACCATCTTTAACATTAATGTACTTAACTTCTTTTAATATCCACTCTTCTGAATGAATGTGCCTGAGAAGCATTTCCTTTCTTTTTGTTCCAGGATTGTGGAAAAGGGATATTACAGTGAGCGAGATGCTGCAGATGCTGTTAAACAAATCCTGGAGGCAGTCGCTGTAAGTATGAAGTAACAGCAATGGTGCAACTCTTAGTCATCTCTTCCTTTTACAGAATCATCATTTAAGAAATGCGTATCTGTGATAAGCCATACATTTTACAGCATAAAGGTGTGAAGTATTTATTAGAAAATGTGTGGAATAAGGTGGGCATGGTGGCTCAAGCCTGTAATCTCAGCACTTTGGGAGGCTGAGGCAGGCAGATCACTTAAGGTCAGGAGTTCCAGACCAGCCTTGCCAACATAGTGAAACGCCATCTCTAATAAAAATAATAAAATTAGCTGGGTGTGGTGGTGCACACCTGTAATTCCAACTACTTTGGAGGCTGAAGCACAGGAATTGCTTGAACTCGGGAGGTGGAGGGTTGCAGTGAGCCAAGGTCACGCCACTGTACTCAAGCCTGGGCGACAGAGAGAGACCCTGTCTCAAAAATAAAAATAAAAATAAAAAAAGGAAAGAAAAGAAAAGAAAAAAGATCAGACGAAAAGAAAGAAAATGTATGGAATAAATTGATATATTCTATTGATGACTCAAAGTCTGAAAGATGCAGTCCTTTACATAATGCTGTAAGTGTATTAAATTAATTTCCATTCTATTATTATGAGATCAAACGAGACTTTGGCACCTTTAGTCATTCTTTAACTCTTTTTTTCCCATTTCTTGAGTTTGTTTCTTCATTGCTTTTGTTTTTAATTTGGTAGAGACGTGGAAGAAGGTTGAATGTGATATAGACCTTGGAGCATAGAGATTATTGACTTTTCTTTCAAGAAAAGAAATGAGTTAATTAAAAAGAAAGAATATAGCAGTTTTTTCAAGGAAGAAACATAAATTAATATTTTAAATTGGAACACAAGTTTTGTAAGTTAATGGTGAAAATAAATGCATACACATTTACAAAAATATATACTGTTGAGAAGCTCTTTTGGATTGCATTAAGTAGGTAATATTTGCCTGTATAAATCAGACTCAACTGGCTAAAAGCTTCCTATGTATTTAATGGTGTCTAATATGTACTGAACACTTTGGTGATTCATTTATTGAATATGAAACCAGAACAAATTATTCTTTGAACATTCAAGACAGGGCCCAAGGAGGGGTATTTATCAGCATCACTTAAATAGACAAATCTATAAAATATATCCAGAATTAAGATACACTCTATTATTCGGAGTTATTTAACCAAAATCATTATCCAATACCTTGAGAAATCAGCCACAGTGACAGAAGCACAGGTTCTATGAGTTTTACCCACATCAAAAACAGGAAGGAGGGAAGGAAAGAGGAAGGGAGGGAGAGAGGAGGGAGGGGGAGGGAGAACTCTGATACCTAACTAGCTTAAGTACCAATGATGAAAAGGAAAAATAACCTTTGCATAAGGCTTCTAGAAATAGCCAATTGAACCACATCTGTTATTGAGCTATCAACACCAATTTTAATTGGCTTTATAGCCCAGTCCTTCCAAATTATTATTCCCATAAAAGTGTTTTGATCTTTTTGCTATGGTGAGGGATGAAAAGTTTGAAATGGGAGTGAATGAAAAACCTGGAGAGGATGCCAACACAGCTCCTGATTATGTAAATATTGAATATCAAATTCATCTTCTCACAGTACCCAAATAGCCACCCCATTTCAGATTTTCATCATGCATAACATATTTACCAATTCTGGTTTCCTAGGTTTGCACACTAGGTAATGGGTTTCAACTCTTCCATTTTCTTATCTTACATAGACCTTTCCAACTTCAGTTGAATCTTTCCTCAAATGTGCATAAACTTAATCCTGTTCTCCATTATTTTATGACTGTTGCTGGCATGCTTTAAAAAAGAAAGAAGAAGCACTTTTAATTGCCATTAACTCCTATTCTTTTTTTTTTTTTTTTTTTTTTTTTGAGATAGAGTCTCGCTCTGTCACTCAGGCTGGGAGTGCAATGGCTTAATCTTGGCTCACTGTAACCTCCGCCTCCCGGGTTGAAGTGATTCTCCTGTCTCAGACTCCCAAGTAGCTGGGACTATAGGTGTGTGCTACCACGGCTAGCTAATTTTTGTATTTTTAGTAGAGCTGGGGTTTTACCACGTTAGCCAGGCTGGCCTCGAACTCCTGACCTCAGGAAATCTGCCCACCTCCACCTCCCAAAGTGCTGGAATTACAGACGTGAGCTACCGCACCCAGCCACAATTCCTATTCTTAAATATATAAGTCTAGAATCATCTCTTGCAATCACTATTTTTATTTTGTTACTTCTCCATTTAATAATGGCAGTTTTATACTTTTCTTAAATACCCATTTTAAAACCTCATTTCTTGTTATTATACATAATAAATTAATCAAGTAAACTTGCTGGCCATAGCCCACTGTCACTTTACCAGAATCAGTCAGGCAGCTGGTATAGCAGTTAATAATACTTTGGCAGTGAGACAGAGCTAGGTTTGGTTTTTAGATGTGTGAACTGGGACATGTCAATAAATATCTTTGAGCCTCAATTTAGTCTTGTAAAATAGGCATGGCAATTAGCCTAACAGGATTGTGGAAAAGGTTAAATGAGATAACCTGTGGAAATCATAGAAATGTTCATAAAAGAGGGAAAAGAGGATAATCAACTTCATACTCAGTACATTCGTTTAAAGATTTATTAGATGTAGATGTATACAGATACACTTACACCCCAGCTAAGTACAAAAAACAAAACAGTTGTGTAATATTATACTCATTGATCTAGGTGCTGATTGTACAGAAAAATTCAGTTTGTAAAAATTTGGTACACTTACATATACTTTTCTATTCTTATATTACACCAACAGAAAGTTTAAAAAGGAATTGTCCTGAAATTTTAGTACGTTTGTATGGTTATAACAGGTAATATATCCTCGAGTCAGCATGCTATGTGTGTGTATGTGTTTGCAATTTTCCCAACTGGATTCATGTACTTTTTAATGTTTCTAGTTCTATCACATACTGTTGTTTAACAGGCAGATTTCTTTTTTCCTTTCTGGGACAGTAGCACATTATTCTCTGATATCACTGTCTCTGTGAGACCGTATAGAATGTGCCAATGAGGGGAGAGGGACATATGCCACTCAGTCTACCGCCCTCCTCTTTTTATGCTATTTTACTGACAAAACATTATATCAAAATGAAATAATCTTCAAAATAATTGTTCTGAGTGATCTTTATTTGCTTCCCTATACGTGAGTAACAGAATGCATACTGTCAGGAAGGGTGTACTGTAAGGCCACAGAGGTGTATGAAGACAGCTAGCAGCCTGGACTCTGGTCAGAACTCTTTCCTTCCCCCACTGCTGCTTTTTTCTCATCACCTGCTTCCCTCTGCTCTCTTCCAACCAATATTCTCTACTTCTTAGATCCACAAAGTGATATATGGTCAACTTAACCATCCTGCATTAGCATATTAAAGTACAAACCTAAATCTGACTCAAAATGAACACAAATATCATTTGATCTTAATTTCAGATTTTAGAACAGAAGCCACATGTGGCTTAACTTGACTCAGGCTTACTTCCCTAGTCCAGTCAGCTGTGGATGCAGTGTGAATTGTGCAGGGTGAAATGTGGCTGGCCAGGACTGGGGATAAGGGGGGTTGTTCTAAGAGAAAGACAATTGTTTCTTTTGAACTAGGCTGCCACACCGAAAGGCATACCTTTTTCTACTGTCTGTTCTGGTGTTTTTTTTGTTTGTTTCTTTTTTGTTTTTTTCCTTTTACTGTTTCTTCGTGTTTCTCTCCATTCCTGAATTATCATTGCATCCTAGATGCAGTTTTGAATGACAGTCTGTTGTTTGTCACAAAACCATGATTTCACTTAGACTATGATTTCATTTTGGCGGAAGCCCTAGTTGTTTATCATGTAGGAATTAACTTTTCTATGACCAAATTTAGTCACTCTTCACATTCCCACATTTCCGTCTTTGTAATTCAAGCTGTTTTCAGTAGGTGTATATTCCTGATTCTCTCATTCACTGATACCAGCCAAAACTCTTATAAGGTTCCCTCCATCTTCTTCATCTTGGTAAATGGCACTATCATTCAGCAATTGTTTGCTAAAACCTAGAATTCACCTTACGTCCAAATAATCCCAAATAATAATCAACAGGTCTAGTCAGTCTATCTCCAAATTATAACCCAAATTTGACCATTTTTCTTCATCTTCACTAAGCCATAGCCCTAGTTTCAGTCTGCATAATCTCTCACTCAGACTGCTATGCAGCCTGCTTCCACTTCATTTCCCTCACATCAGCCAGTTATTATTTAAATCATACATCGATTATATCATTTCCATACTTACACCAGCAGTGGCGTCCCATTGAAAGTAAAAAACAAAGACAAAAACAAAAACAAAACTCAAAATGCTTTCACATATCCTAGGATGTCCTGCATATTCAGGTTCCTTCTCACCCCCCCAGCATCACTTCCTACACTACACTTCAGCTACACTGGCCTTGTTTTCCAACCCTCAGAAAGGTCTCAGTTAATTCCCATCTCAGAGTAGTTGTCATTTCCCTGCCTGGAGCCCTCTTTCTTCATATCTTCCTGTGGCTCATTTCTCTACTTCTTTCAGGTCTCTGCTGAAGTGTGGCTTCTCCAGGGGGACCTTCCCTGACCACTGTACCTAAAATAATAATCACCACTACGTCTCCAAGCCATCTTCATTTCTATTATCACATGGTGTGTCTTTGTGCACTTATAATTATTTAAAATTGAACAGTATTTTGTCTGTTTTGTGTTTATTATCTCTCCATAAAAGTAGGAACTTTGTGCTTTTCACTTTTATATTCCCAGAGTCCGAAACAGTACATGACAAAGTAGGAGCTCAGTAAACACTTACTGAATAAGTAAATGGAAATTGATGAAAACTTGAAGAACAAGCCATCATTCTGTATTTTGTCTTTTGGATAATGAGCCATGTATTAAACATCTTTACTGTTATTTTTCTACTCATTTCATAAGAGACAAAGCTTTATAACTTACTTCTGTGAATGAAATTCTTT